ATTGAATATAAAAATTTATCTCCTAAGAATATAAAAAGAAACAATCACTTAAGTCAAGTCAAGATTTGTTAGAAGAATAGGTTTTCTCGTGTAGACAATCGGTAATAATTTTCGATAATTATCTTTCCGAGGCGTATGGAATATGCGTATATTTTCTATTCTCACGTTTTGTAAGTAACGTATATTTCGCATTTTAATAAAAGAAAAAAAGAAATACAATTTGTATTTCTTTTTAACAATCCATCAGATGTATTTTATAATCACTTTATAATAATTTTTTCCAAGTATCGAGAAGATATTTTTATGTACGTATATATATATGTTGATTAAGGTAAACGGTACGGTAAATATAAATTTCGTAATTAGAGATAATTTCTCGTTTGTAATTCGAAACGGTTAATGGTTAGCCTGTATGTATTAGAGTTACATAAAGAATTAATAAGCAACCAGTACATACAAATATATATATGCGTTTTATGCATTTTATCATTGTGTTCGATAAACGACAAAATGTGATAAAACCACATGAAAACTTGAAAAGTATATAGCATAATAACCGGTGGCCACAATAATTGTCGAGATTAGAAATCTCGCTTCTACAACTCTGTATTAAAAAAAATGTATGACAACTCGAGAATTAAATTTGTGACTGAGGACATACCTCGTGACAAGAAAATTGAGTGCTGTTTGAATATATTTCCAGTAAAATTTAAACAAACTTTTATTACACAGCCCTTCAAAAAAAAAATTCTAGTTAATAGTCATTTTTTACGTATTTTGTGTCACATAATCTGAAATATGGACTTTACAGACCAAAAATGAAAAATTACGGACCAATTACTGACAAAAAAATAGTCAAACACGAGAACATTTTACATAAAAATGCAAATTAAATTTTTCATAACTATGAAACATGAAGATATCGATAACTTCGAATCTTCGACTCAGAGTGATCGATTCCTTCATGTTTTAATAATTAAAGATGACCGAATGATTAAATCATTATTCAATTATTATTTTCAAGAATTTTTAACTAAAATTGTTTTTTAAATCGATCATTTTCAATAATTTTCGAAAAAGTTCATTGACAATTTTCAAATCCATTTGTTTACAATATTCAGTTTTACGAAATTTCAATTATTGGTAAATTCTTCAATTAGATATATACAAAATAAAAACATCAAATAATATAAAAAAATCCGCAATTAAACTTTCTCAAAAAAATTAATTTCAAAATTCAATTATTTTTAAAAATTCACGGTATATTACTTGTAATATTCAATTATTATCTAAAATTTTAACTGAAATTCATTTTTAAATCAATTTTTATTAGAAAATTCTGCTAAAATTAAATTATTTAACTACAAAAATAAATAATTTATTGAATAATTAAATATTTCTTAAAATTCGAATCCCATAAAGAATTTAAATAACTGAATTCTTTCGACCAATTTGAATAAAATTTACAAAATTAAATTTTTTTTTTGTTTTCTTAACCAAAATTCTTCTTTATACCTACGCATTATTTTAAATATTTTTTGAAAAAGCTCTTTGAAAATTTTTAAATTCATTTGTTTACAATACAGTTTTACAAAACTTCAATTATTCATAAATTCTTCAATTAAATATGTATTAGAAAATAAAAGTTTGAAATAATGTCAAAAAAAAAATCCGCAATTAAACTTTCTCAAAAAAATTAATTCCACATAATTATTAGTGAAAATTATAAACAATTGAGATTTTCAAAGATTTTAATTTCAACCCATTTCAAAATTTAATTATTTCTAAAAATTCACGCTCTAATTCATTTTTAAATCAATTTTTAATTTTTATTAGAAAATTCAATTAGAATTCAATTATTTGAATAAAAAAAACAATTTATTGAATAATTGCATGTTTCTTAAAATTGAATTCTCATAAAGAATTTTATCAATAAATGTTTGAAATAAATGAATTCTTTTGACGAATTTTAACAAAATTTTTAATTCGATTAAAATTGCATTAAAAATAATTAAAATTCTGCAATGAGTTTTATTATTTATAAAAAGAATTAAATCCCGAAGAAGAATTTTATTATTTTTAAATAATATTTAATTTATTACTCTTGAAAAAAATTGTGCAATTAAAATTCAATTTTACAAAATTTCAATTATTCGTAAATTCTTTAATTAAATAGGGGAGAGTGGGGCAAAATGGGGTACCTTTTTGAAATTGGCTGTTTACAGAGAACCAAACGAATAAATCGATTCAGCTAAACTTCAGAATTCTTCTTTGTACACTTAGCTTTGAGGAAATTATGATAATAGCGGAGAAAAAAATTTTTGAAAGAACTTATATCGTATTTTCTGAGAAAGTGCTAAAATCCCATTTTGCCCCACCCGTGGGGCAAAATGGGGTGTCATCAAATAACTATACAAAACATTGAATATTTTTTCAAAATTCATTAAATTCTTGTTGTATGAGATTATAAATACAAACACAAAGTAGGATTCTTCATTATTATGAAAAAACAAGTAATATTTGATAGAATTTAACAAAAAAACATGGATATTGCAAAATATCGATATACCGATAATGAAACATCGATAGTATAAATGCCTCGAAGCAAAAATATCGATTCTTCTGCAGGAAACCTTTAAATATGCATAATATAATGTTTTTAAATAGTTTTAATGAAACGGCGTAGCTTCCGGCATGCCCCACACTTAGGTACCCCATTCTGCCCCACACTGCATATTAAAACAAAATGCAATGTTTACAAGTTATTGTAAACAATTAAACAATCTATTTTATTGGAAATTACTCTAGAATAAGTACTGAAAAAGATCCCACACTTGCCAAATTAAATGCATTATCCCAAAAAGTTTGGTAAGCACTTTAATTTTGAAAAAAGTTCATATTTTTTTTGCTTAAAACTTAAAAGTTGTATAACTTTCAAAAAAAAATTTTCTTTGGAGTGTCTTCATAATTAATAACAGTTTCTTATCAACATGAATGATATATGTCGAGGATAAAAAAATTAAAAGTACCTATCATGGAAAAACAGAGGTACCCCATTTGACCCGCCTACCCCATTTTGCCCCACTCTCCCCTATACATATATAAGAAAATAAAAATTTGAAATAATTTCATTTTTAAATCAATTTTTATTCCAAAATTCTAGTAGCATTCAATTATTTTAATACAGTAAGAAATAATTAAATGTTTCGTAAAATTCAATTATCATAAAGAATTTTATCAAAAACATTTTTAAATAATTGTATTCTGTTGACGAATTTTAATAAAATTTTTAAGAATAATTACATTTTTCCTAAGAATTTGATTAAAATTGTGTTAAAAATAATTGTATTTCACCAATGAGTTTTATTATTTTTGAAAATAATTGAATTTCTAAAAATAATTTTATTATATTTACAAAAATAATTGAATCTCTGTAAAAATTTTATTATTTATGAAAATAATTGAATTGTTGCGAAGAAATTTATAAAAAATTTTGTAAATAATTGAATTCCTTTGAAATTTTTATTATTTTATGAAAACAATTAAATGTTTGCGTAGAATTTTATTAAATTTTTTTAAATAATTCAATTCTTTTGGAAAATTTTATTAAAATAGTAGATGTTGAAAATCATTGAATTGGGGAAAATTTTTGAAAATAATTGAATTTCGTAGAAGAATTTTATTATTTCTAAAAATAATTGAAATTTCTACGAGAATTTTAAAAAAATTTTGAACATAATTGAATTTCTGCGAATAATTTTATTACTTTTGAAAATAATTGAATTTTTTCATTCATTTGTAATTTCTCTAAAATTCTCCAAATTATATCGTACAATTTACGAACTTTACGTCCTTTTTCAATCAAATTACGGACTCTACGGACCTTTTTAATTCTTAATTAATTAATTGATTAATTAATTTTTAATTTTTAAATTATCCACTTATTTGTGGAAAAATATATATAAATAACCAACAAAAATAAAAAAATATTTAAACGAAATTTACATTTTAAAGATTAAAATTTAAGTTGCGCAAAATTAATTTCCAGAAATACGACCTCCAGCTACATTTTTTTATCACGTGTTCTAGCGGTTAAATATAATTAATTATAACTTTTAAATTAATAATTTTGTAAAAAAAGCTCAATAAGAATATTTTTTTTTAAATAATAAATTGTTATCTTTTAATTTATTACACTTTTAGCTTGTATATTTTATTTCTTTAAAATAAATAATATAATTTGAGGGTTAGATATTTCAAAACGATGATTCAAAAATTTAAAACAAAACGCCTACCAAATATAAAAAAAGGCTTCGGAAATGAATTACATAATTAATTCATGGAAAATTCTCTTTTTTCTAATTTTAAAAATATTACAATCCATGTAAACAATATTTTTAGGTTTAATCTTTAAATATTTTTACATAGATTACATTTTATGTTTAAATCGTTTAAAAAGATAATATTATTTAGAAAATGAGGCTTCGAAGATGAATTTGAATTTTTACTCGCATTAATAATACTATTTTAACTAATAACTTAAATAATTTTTTTTACCTTATTTTAAACAAATATAAGTGAAAAATAAACATTAGATTATGAACTTTAAATTGATACCTATAATATGTTATAAAATGTGTTGAATATTGCAATTGAAATTTGACTTTATACACAAAAAAACACCGATATTTTTAAAAAGGAATCATTTACAAAATTGAAAATAGTTGTTTCGAGAGAGTTGAAAAGAAATTTGAACGTTTTGTTCGCGATGAGATTAAATTCTTTTTCACCCGCATATTGAATAGGAGGACGAAAAATAAAAGAGAAATACAATAAGATATAGTTCCTTTTCAATTCGTAAAGGATCTGATGATATTCCCAAAGACTTTTTTTGACTAATGATATTGCATACCATGTAATATGCAACAATGGCTTTTAAAATTGTTTTCCCGTACAATCGAATATATATAAATGAAAGTGTGAAAACGTATAGAATTTACCTTTCATTCGCCAGTCTGTTGTTGTGTTGTTGCTTTGTACCTTCCTTTTCGCGAATAGTTTTTCCAATTCCACTAATTTTTTGTGGTGGGTCCCTTAGAGCAAAACTCTTCGCATAATGGCCCAAATGAAGTTCCTTACGATCGAAAATTTCTCTCATTTCACGTGGATAACTTGCGTAAAATCGTATCCACGAAATGTAAGCTGAAAAAAAATTAACAATCGAGTTTACAAAAAGATGATGATTCCTATATATTTATAATTTTTTTAATTTATTTTATTTTTTTTATTGTTTATACTCCTGCCCTATTGGCCTTACGCACTTCGAAAAGAGTCCCCGAGAAATACTTTTTTGGATTAAGCATAACCATTCTACATATGAAAATTCTATATATTAACCTAATTTTTGCGTCTACAGCCGACTTTTATTAGGAGTACTCGCATTCGCCTGGACCACCCGTCAATGGGTTTTCTCGCCAGAGAAGAGGGAAAACTGTAGAAAACCTCTCTCCTGAGTACAACTCAGATTATCTCACGTGCCGGAAAAATACCAAGCCAAATGGGCGCGAACCAAGGGTACTTGGTCCTAAAACGTCCGCCAAGCGAGGCATCTATCCAACTGAGCTAATCCGTCGGTTTATTTTATTTATTTATAATATTACTAATTATTTATATATTAGTAATAATAACAAACTTTTTGTATAATGATTTATTAATAATACTCAAAAATAATTAACAATAGAAAAAATTAATTAAATTATATATTTCAATCTGACAACTCTAAACAAATAATAAAGATAAACATCCAATGGAAATTATAAATTGAAAAAATCAAAAAAGCTTCATTTGAATGAAAAAATATACACAATAATAGAAAATATCTTTTTCACTTTAAACTAATGAAATAAATTTGCTAAATGGAATTTTTTATATTATGAACATTGCTGGGAATATCGAGAGTTACATAAAAGATTTATATCACGCGAAACGAAATGCTTTGTGCAAACGTGACATTGTACTCAAAAGCGGTCATCAAGATTAACCGATTACTGTACATGTATATATAAAAATTGTTTAATAATGTCCAATTTAATAAAAATAAAAATATAGATTATGGTTAGAATTTTTATTTCTTTCTTTCATTCGAATAATAAATATCTGCGTTCGAATATCATCGAATCTGTATTATATCTCGGAACCCCGGAACATTAAAATTATTTATGAATACACTTTTTCTTAAAACTCTTTTTAAGTAATTAAGAAATTAATTAATAAATATTCTAACTTAATACTTGAAAAAATTCTAAAGAAATACATTTAGTACATAAAGTGGAACATTTTTTTTCCTTAATTAAAATTATAATTAGGGTAACTATACCAATGAATAAACACTCTCTTAATTTGAATCAATATGCATTTTAACTCTCTGCTGATGCTAACGACCGTTATCGTCAAAAATCGTCATTCTGGACGCCTGGTGGGGACTATGGGAGTTACTTGCTTTGGCGATAGAGTGGGGATAAGATAGCATCAGCAGAGGGTTAATATTTTTGTAGGAAATTTTCAATTTTCATAAGGAAATAATTTACATCATTTCTATTTCTTAATTAATTGAAAATAAAATTGAAAATTGCTGAATTTTTAGAAAATAAAGAAAAATATTTCATTCAAAAAAAATGTTCTGTTACATTTATTTACGAATTTCTTAAATTGCAAAATTATTCAAAAACATCAATAACTTCTGTTCTAAATAAATATTTAATTATTATTATATTTCCATAGGAATTAAGATTTTCAAAAATTTCAAATTCAAACCTTTTTGAAATTAAATAACTTTAAAAATATTTGTTATAAAACAGGAAGATATCTTCGACTCGGAGTGATCGATTTCTTCATTTTTTACAATAATTAAAAATGATCGAGAGATAAAATAATTATTTTATATTATAAAAATATTGTTGCTGTAACTTCATCAAAATTATTTCCATATTCAATTATTATCTAAAATTTTAACTAAGATTCATTTTTAAATAAATTTTTATTAGAAAATTCTATATGAGAATTCAATTATTTAAATACAAAAGTAAATTATATAATTGACTGTTTATTAAAATTTAATTCTTATAAAGAATTTTATTACCAAATTTTTAAATAATTTAATTTTTTGACGATTTTTAATAAAATTTTTAAGAATAGTTACATTGATTATGGAATTCGATTAAAATTGTATTAAAAATAATTAAAATTATGCGATGAGTTTTATTATTTATGAAAACATTTGAATTATTGAGAAGAAACTTATAAAAAATTTGTAAATAATTGAATTTATGTACAATTTTTATTATTTATGAAAATAATTAAATGGCTGCGTACAATTTTATTAAAATTTTCAAAAAATAATTTATTGATTTCTTTTGAGTAGTTTTATTAAAATAGTAGAAATATTGATAATTCGTGAAATGAGGAAAATTTTTGAAAATAATTGAAATTTTAACTAGAATTTTATTAAAATTTTTGAAAATAATTGAATTTTGAAGAAGAATTTTATTATTTATAAAGATAATAATTAATAATTTATAATAATAATTTGACGAGATTAATTTTCAATTTTTAACATAATTGAATTTTGTGATTTTATAACTAAAATTCTTTTCTATAAGCATTATTTTTAATAAGTTTTGAAAAAGTTCTTTGAGAATTTTCAAATTCATTTGTTTATAATTCAATTTTACAAATTTTCAATTATTCGTACATTCTTTAATTAAATATGTATTAGAAAATACAAATTTGAAATAATTTTTAAAAAAATCCTGAATTAAACTTTTCAAACAATTTTCAAAGATTTTAATTTAAACCCTTTTCAAAATTCGATTACCTCTAAAAATTAACGCTCTAATACTTTTAATATTCAATTATAATAAAAAATTTCAACTGAAATTCATTTTTAAATTTTAATTAAAAAATTCTAGTAGAATTCAATTATTTTAAAACAAAAAGAAATAATTGAATGTTTTTAAAATTCAATTATCATAAAGAATTTTATCAAAAACATTTTTAAATAATTGAACTCCCTTGACGAATTTCAATTCAGCAATGAATTTTATAATTTATGAAAATTATTGAATTCCTAAAAAGAATTTTATTATTTACGAAAATAATAATTGAATCACTGTAAAAATATTATTATTTATGAAAATAATTGAATTGTTGCGAATAAATTTACAAAAAATTTGTAAATAATTGAATTCCTGGAAAATTTTTATTATTTATAAAAATAATTGGGATTTTGACGAAATTTTTTTCAATTTTGAACATAATTGAATTTTGTGATCAGAATTTTATTACTTTTAAAAATAATTCAATTTCTGCAATCATTTGTAACTTCTTCAAAATAAAATTTTCTTTAGTGTTTTTTACTATAATTTTTCTCTAAATCCATTATTTTTAATAATTAATTAAATATATATTGACAAATTTAACTAATTATTGAAGATTTCGAATTATTAAAATTTTTCAAAAATTTAAATTCTTTAATTTCTAATTAAATTCATTTAAAATTGAAATTTTATAAAGTTTCAAATTAAAACCGTTTGAAGTTTAGGTACTTATTTATAAAAATTAGAAAATTGAATGTCTTGTTTTATAATTTGTGGTAATTTCATAGTTTATGAGGCAAACAAAAAATACACAAAAATTCAGAATTTTCTTATAAATTCTAAAAATTTAATTTTTTTCAATACCTTTAATTAAAATCCCTGACTTTTCCCTGAATTACCTATGTCAGAATATATGATATTATAGTTATAATAACATTAAAACTATAAATATTCCAATTCATATTTTATTTTTATGAAAATAAAAAATTGTTACGTTCAATTATTTTGAAAATTGATAATTTTATTTAAAAAAAGTGAGTAAAAAGTTAGCCGCGCGCGAATTGTTGCTAGTTTGCTTTAAAATACACGAAAATTATGATCAAAAGGGTCATTTATATACATACATGTTAAAGGTCACGTGATGCAAATGATCATAAATAATCATTTTGAGATACGTGTCCGCTTTTATTAATCGCAGTTCCATTAGGTACCTCGGTGGGTAGGAACAAATTTCTATGGGGTATCCTGTAGTGCTCTATTAAAGGGCATTAGGCTATAGGGGTCGAGTCAAGTGCTGCGGCTAATACTAACCCTCGATTTCCGTACGGGTGAGAAAGTCGAGAGTTTCATGGTTCTGAGAGAACTCAACATGTGCTTTTTCAATATAATCACTCTTGACGAAAAACATGTACCATTTCTCTCACTCTCTTTCGTTTAAGATTTAAAAAATTACCCTTCACGCATCTAGATTCCCTATAATAATGATAATCGGACGCAAACTGCGAATATAATGTGGTAATATTTCCAAGAGGCGGGAGACACATTGACCTTATTGATGTCAATCGATCAACAAATTTCGAAGCGCATCATTAATTATTCCCTATAGTACTTAGAGTATAAAATAAAGTAAATCGTCTAGAAAATTTTTCACCCCACCTCACGCTTTTCAATTTCGAAATAGCTTTTGTCCACTTGGAAGGATTCCCCGGAAAGTGCCCTGTCTCGGTAGAACACCTCCGAATTCCGATTTCTTAGGAATAATCGGAAATTTCATTGGATTTTTGCAACGCCATTCCGAAACAATTCTGTTGGAATCTCTAGAGGGCATTTTTCGGAGAATCTCTCTCCAAGTTGGTGAAAATGAGAAAATCTTTTATACAGAGAGTTGTCTTTCACTCTTAACTTCAGTCAATTTTTTTTGCGCATTTCCGGCTTTTTCTCGACGAAGAAAACAAGCTAACGATCTTTCTTAAACTCGCGATGTCGACGTGGACGAAGCTAATGCCACTGGAGAAAAAAGGGGAGAAATGTTTTTCTCCATTTAACACATAAATCCATTGAGAGGCTGGTGTGTTGCTCGTACTCACATATATACTATTGGGGGTGAGTATTAAGAAGAATGAAACAGAGAGAGAGAGTCCCACGCAGGGTGGCATTGTTCCTAAGTGATGTAACTGCGTCTTATTGTATTTGTATCCTGTATCGTATTGTTAAGAGTCTCTCGCCACAAAGCGTAAGTGGTTTTGGCGGAAGCCACATTCAGTGGCTGGATTGTATCGTCCCCCATGACCACCCTCTTTCAGAAAAGGCGTGTGAGCACACACCCTC